GTTTCAGTCTGGCTGGTTTCAGTCTGGCTGGTTTCAGTCTGGCTGGTTTCAGTCTGGCTGGTTTCAGTCTGGCTGGTTTCAGTCTGGCTGGTTTCAGACTGGCTGGTTTCAGACTGGCTGGTTTCAGACTGGTTTTAAAACCCGTCCTGTGACGTCAGGTGGAGGTGGGTGTGGTTTACAGCTGTCTTGAGGACAAGATGTTCACGGCGCAGCGGGGGAAGGGAGCGTTCTGTAACGGAGAACCTCTGCAGGTGTCCGCTCAGACAGGTCAGTGATCCATCAGCAAACACCATCACCTCCTGAGGTGCACGAACAGACATGAGTTGTTGCTTCCAGACGTCCACCAGTCCATCATTGCCACAGAGTTTGGATCCAACAGAGACCCGGAAGCTGTGGACAGCATCTTCTGCAGCCTCAGAAACATCCTGAAGCTCCCAGTCCACGGGTAAGGAGGAGGAGATGTGGGACCAGAGGTCCTGACGCAGGGCAGAGCTGTGTTACCCACCCGTTTCTGTGCTCCTCAGCGTGCGCGGCGCCGGCAGTGCAGCCATCAACATGTGTCTGGTGGCGTCGGGCTGTGTGGAAGCCTACTATGAGATCGGGATCCACGTCTGGGACATAGCGGCGGCGTCTCTGCTGGTGTCGGAGGCTGGAGGGGTTCTGATGGACGTGGAGGGTAAGAACGCTCCAGAACTTCCCGTCCCTAATGCTGCTCCTCTCTGACCAACCCGTCTCTGACTAGGAGCGGACCTGGACCTGATGTCCAGGAGAATTGTTGCCGCCAACAACAAAAGCATTGCAGAGAGAATCGTGAAGGAGATCGCCCCCTTCAGGCCCATCAGGGATGACGCTCCACCTCACAAACATTGATCTGTTTACGTGTATAAAGGTTCTGACCCAAACAAACTTGTGTGAGTTCTTGTTCTGTTGACCTCAGCACATCCCAGTCAGTCTGGACTCGTTGGGTTCCAGGTTCTCTCAGCAGGTTAAAGGTCACTGAAAAAACTGTGATGACCCAGGATGAGGTTAAATACAGTAAGACAGTTATTCAGGCTGGCGGTAATGACGACCGCTTACACTGATCAAGGTCACCAACATGAAGCGTTGCTTCGGTTTGTGAGTTTGACAAAACAATGTGGGACTC